CGTCCGACGTCCGTTCACGTCGCGGTGGTTCAACAGCTGCTCAACCAGATAGCGCTGGCCACCGCGAGAGTCCTCTAATGGAGGTGGAGGAGGAGGAAGACGCTCTCCACACGATCATGGGGATCCGTGTGTCCCGAGAGCTTCTTTGATCGCGTAACGCAAGGGTTACGCGACGATCTCGATTATGAGCGGAATAAGCGTCTCCAACTGGCGGACACTGCCTCGAAGCATCGAGCTGAGTTTGCCTTTGCTCAGCTTGAGAACGAGAGAGCTCTGGCATCTCTGCGTGACGAGCTAAGGGTAGCTCGTGGGATTGTTGATCGGTCTCGGGCTGAGATAACTGCTCTTCAGACCCTTGTCGATGCCCACCATCGGGAGCACAAGGCTCTCTGCGAGATGCTTGAGCGCAAGGGCGTTCTTCATCGGAAGAAGATGCGTACTGATGGTACGGCTTAAGCCGACCAACGTAAAACGTGGGATGCGTTCGCATCTTACGTGGTAACTCGATCGTGTATGCATTGCCTACGCGGTGCAAAACACGAAATGGGCCGATGTACTTGGGTAGAAGTTTACTACTACCCAAGTTAGTCACTACATGCTTTGGTAGATTAACCGTAGACAGTAGGACTAAGTCACCTTTACTAAATAAAAGAGTGTTTGTCCTTCCATTCTTGTCAGCGTTTTGCTTTTGCTTATCCACCGCTTCGGCGATGGAATCTTGCACAAAACGGACTACCGTTTCACGAGCCAGTATGAACTCATCTGATGACTCGTAAACTTCAGTGCGCTGTGAGCGCACTGCAGCAACATCAATCTTTTCTTCAGTGAGGGCTTCCGCACTCTCACTGGCATCATCTTCTTCGATATCGATGTTATCGATATCGGCATCAAACGCAATGACCTCTTCGTCAGAGCGTGATGAGCGTGAACCAAATCGTTTTTTGCTCGCGCGAGTCCCTCCCCCTCTTGAACAAGAGTTACACTCTAGTAAGGTGGGTACACGCGGATGGCGCAAGCCATTCACGTAAAACGGTGTATGTGTCGTGGACGCATGCACCGAGTTGTTGATGGCAAACTCTACCATAGGCAAAAACTCACTCCAACTCTTAAAGGAGCGTACGTATCCTCGAAGTATCTCTTCAAGGACACGATTGGCACGTTCCGTCTGACCATCTGACTCTGGATGATCAGATGTAGACATCTTCAAGCGCGTTCCGAGTGATTTGAACACGGAACGCCAGAAATCAGCAGTGAATCGTGGATCTCTGTCTGATACGAGTTCACGGGGCAACCCATGAAGTCGGAAGATGGTGTCGATAAAGATACAAGCACAGCCACTTGCCGTGATTGATTCTGGTACAGCCACTAGGTGTACCATTTTGCTGAATCTGTCAACAAATACGAGAATACCCGTATTCCCGCGTGCGTCTTTGGGTAACCCAAGACGAAATCCATTGAGATGGATTCCCAGCACTCAGCCGGAACCGGTAGAGGCTGTAAAGGTGCACGCAGTGAAGGACTTGACTTCACTCGTTGACAGACTTCGCATGCGCGAACATACTTTCGCACAAACTGATACTGGCGGGGCCTATAAAAGTCTCGACTCACCGTGAGATATGTTTTCTCCCGGCCACGATGTCCTCCTATAGGAGCATCGTGATACTCGAACATGGTCCGCAAACGCAGATCAGTATCATCTGGAATGACAACACGTGGTGTGTCACCAGAAACGGCTGTATAATACAGTAAACCGTTGCGAGTAGTGTATCGATCTGATGCAGATCGATACGCAGGCGACAATCGTTTCAACGATTCTAGAGATGGTTGGGAGAGATGTGTCAACAACTTCACAATCTCACCATCTTGGGCATATGCCCGCCTCACATCATCATACAACGTTGTAGATGGAACTGAGGACGTCATAACCGCAACAGTGGCTGTCTCACTGTTGGGCTTCGCGACTGGTTCAAAGTCGAGACATCGTGAGAGTGCATCAGCGACGACATTAAGTCGTCCTGGTTTGTACTCGACCGTAAAGTTGTATTCCGCAAAGAATGACAACCACCGCGCCATTCGTTGTGAAAGGTGCGGGCTGTTCACTGCCGTGCGTAATGACGCATGGTCAGTGTAAACAACGAAGGGTCTATCTCCTAATAGATAGACTCTGAACTTCGCGATTGCATACTTCATGGCAAGGAGTTCCTTGTCATGCACTGGATAGTTCCGCTCAGCTGGTTGCAGCTGACGCGACTGATAGCAGACGACGCGTTCAACGCCTTCAAGATCGTACTGCATTAATGCACAGCCGATTGCGAAATCGCTGGCATCACAGACCACAAGAAATGGCCTGTCCTGATCGGCTATTGCTAGGACTGGGGATTGTATCAAGCTCTGCTTGATACCATCAAAAGAGCGCTGACATTCAGCGTTCCATAACCACCTCTCGTTCTTTTTCAACAAACGAGAGAGGTGCACAGTCATCTCGGCGTAATTGCGTGAGTACTTATGCAAACACGCCGCTAGCCCAAGGAATTTTCGAAGACCTTTGACATCAACCGGCACAGGCCAGTCGGTGATCGCCTTGATCTTTTCGGGATCAGGACGTACACCGTTCTTACCTACGATGCACCCAAGAAGTGGTATTTCGCTTGCGGCAAATATACACTTCTTGAGGTTAGCATACAATTGATGCTTTCGCATGATTGTAAGAACTTGTCGGACGTGGTACCTGTGAACCTCAAAGACCGACTTTTCATCCATAGCTCGACTATGGATGAATAGTGATCGAAATAACTCGGCGCGAATTCTCGTACTGGTCTCAACAGATGTGATACACATCTGTTGAACGTGGCAGGGGCATTACTGAGCCCTTGTGGCATTACTAGCCATTCCCAGAGTATGCCGCTAGGCGTGCTAACTGCGGTATAGGGTATATCCCGTTCTCGCATAAGGATTTGATAGAAGCCATCCATCAAATCCATGGACGAAAAGATGGTACTCTTTGACATACCATCAATGATTACGTCCTTCCTTGGTATCGGCGTTTGAGCCGGTACCGTTGCAGCATTCAACTTGTTAAATGCATGCACTATCCGCCACCCTCCTGTTGCTTTTCGCACACAGAAGGTCGGAGAGCTGTGTGGGGAAGTTGATTCCCTCACATGGCCCGCAGCTAAACGATCGGCAAAGAACTTGTCGATCGCAAGTACTTGTTCACGAGGCAGTGGCCACTGCTTCATGACACAGTACTTCGAGCCTGGTTTAAGCTCGACCTCGTGTCGAATACCTATATCCTTCGGTAATTCGCACGGAACAGTTTCAGGGAACACATCCTTGAATTCAACCAAATCTTCATAGAGAGGATTTGTCTTGAGCGATTCCCACGATTGGGAGTCACATCGCTCAATTTGTGTCTTTTCATCTAGGACACTCTCGTCCATAGATGAACTACTGAGAACTCTCTCGTTCTCAGTAAACACTGTTGCTGACCTTATGTCGGTTATACACTCGTCGTCAGCGACAAGTACGCAGATCTGCTTGACTTTGCCACTACGCAGATCACGCAAGAACCTTTTATGTTCGAGCGTTGGCAACTTAGTGATCTCCAAAGTCAACTTCGGAGGCGCAATCAGATCAAGTGTATAAGCGCCTACACTTGATCCGTCATTGACCAGGACATTCAACGTCTCTGTCATTTCCTGGGGACTTATTCCTTTGGCTTCCCGGGGACTTATTCCCTCGGGTTTTGGGGAACTTATTTCCGCCGTATTTGTAACATCGGGACTTATTCCCTTTACTTCCTCTAGCTGGGGTTGCACAACCACAGCGAGATCCTCTACGAAAGACTCTCCAGTCGATCTAGGATTATCGTTTCGCTTAACCTGAGCGATCGATCGTTTCTCTTCTAGATGTTCCCCGCTAGGGATACATCTTTGTCCCAGTCCACCCGACTTATTCGAGTGGTGGACCTTCGGCGCAGCCTGTGTTTCCTCACAGCCGCCGGAACTTTGCTCCGAAGTGTAACCGTTTGGTACACTACGGTTTTGTGCAGTCGTACTAACGACCGTACCACAAGTGAGGCCATCGCACTCACTCGTAGTACATCCACACGCTTTTGGACGCTCCTAAACGTTCATCAGATGGCCATCTGATGTACAAGCGGCAGGCATCGTTACTGTTCGATGTTGCCAGTTTACTCGTGGTTCGTACCTTCTGAGCCACGGTATTCCAAGGATGACATCAAATTTGTCATCCAAATCCAATACGATGAAGTCATCGTCATATTGGGTATCTTCTAGCGTATAGTACATCTTCACTATACGCTTCATGACGGTTACGGATGCGCCTGTTGCAAGACGTACCGTCATCCTCGTAGGAGGTGTGTCACATTCACTGAACTTGAAGTGACCATCTTCTAGCGATTGGCGTCGCACAAAATTGTTGGACGCCCCACAATCGACTAGAGCTCGAAGGGACAACTTATTTGTCACTTCGAGTGTCAAGGTAATGAGTGAGATCTCATTACCTAGAGCAGCAACGCACAACGTTTTTGTGTATGTTGGGAGCAAACTTCATCAAGAGGCCTACACATTTTCTTGACGTCGCTGGACCAGTAGGGTGCTCCGCACCTACTGATCCTGTCCGTTGTTTGACGGTCCATCCCGTTGTTGCGTCTTTGCACCAACAGCGGACCCGCGTCTCTGCCCCTTTCTCATGGGTGGACGGTCACTACGCCCAGTGTTGCGAGACACTGGACGAGGGGCACTACACTCGTAAGCGTAGTGTCCTGTCTTCTGACATCTGTCGCATTTCTGCAACTTCTTGTAGTCTGTAGAGCGAGCCTTCTAGCTCTCTACATAACAGAGCTCCATCGGCTCTGGACCTCTGCTGTCATATCGTCTCGGTGAACGATATGATGTCGAGCTGGCGCGAGCCTGTCTCAGGCTGAAGTCTTCCTGCTCCGCAATGGAAATGGCTTGTTCTAGTGAATCTAGTTCAATTCAGAACAGGTAAGTCTTGACGGGACCATCCGCAAGACCCTGCATGAACACCGAAACCAACGTGTGTTCATCCACCGGATTGGAGCTTATACAACTCGTAAGATGTCGTATATGCTGCGCGTAAGCGTGCACATCACGCTTGCCCTGCTTGAGCTTCAAGAGTTCGGTTCGAGCTCTGAACTCAGCTCCAGGCGGTTCAAACGTTTGTCTGAGCCGCCACTTGAAGACTTCCAACGACCCAAACGCATATGGGTCGTGCAACTTGAGCACCAGTGCCCAAGTCTTGGCACGTCCTGCCAGATTTGACTGGGCAAATGCGGCTTGCATATCCCCGTCGTCGATGCGACGCGCCCTTATGGCGTCGTCTAATTCGACGAACCATCTCAGGAGGGAGCCCTCTTCTATACTTGGAGATGTCAATCTTCAAGGTCTCGGGTCGACGCGAGTGCATTGACCCGCCAGCAGCAGCCTGCTGCTGTCTCAACAGTTCAAACTGTTGAGCACCCTGTTCTCTCAACAACTCTGCTTTTTGACAACCTTGTTGGTGAAGCAAGGCTACTTTCTCGCGTTCGGCGTCAAGTTCATTTTGAATCAACTTGGCGATAGTAGCATGTTGGGCATCTCTATTGAGAGCCTCTAGCATGACGCTAACAGCATGGATGCCCATGGTCGAACCCATTCGTTCAACCGCATCCCATTCGACATCGCTCAAATGGGAGTAGCCATCACGCGTAGCGTGAAAGCTTTGGTCATCTTCATCATCCAACATATTCATGTTAGATGTGAACGTGGTCCTTGGATGGACTACGAAGTGCTACCAGGTGTACGGGGCACCCTGAAGCTTGTACTGGTGACAGTACAAGATACTTATTCTGATGACAGAATAAGGCGGTGCCTCGTAACTTCACGTACACTCGTACGTGCAGAGGAAGACGGTAAGAAGAAGCGAGTACTTGGTTAAAGTAAAAAGCAGAACTGTATTTATCATAGTTAATGTCTGCAATAAATCACTATTTATCTTCATCTAACTATGTCTAAATACAAATGTGTAAATCAACTATCTGCTCACCACTCATTGCGTGCGTCTGTCGTGGCGCGTCTTCGTTGGTTGATATAATGCCCTATATCAACCAATTAGGAACTACTCGTAAGTGCTACAGAATATTTGTCCTTATGACAATATTCTGAGAATATAACTCTTATAGTTATATTCTATTAACAATTTCTAATAAATTGTTATGTAACGATTCACCCCGTTACAGGTAGCACCTAGTCCTTCATCCGGCGAACCCTTGCAGCCTTTAGAAATTCCGGCAGAGTGTTGGCATTCCGTATCGATGGACTTCATCTACGGGCTTCCTAATGACGTTTAAAAGAATACTGGTATTCTTGTGTTTGTTGATCGGTTCAGCAAAATGGTATATCTTGTTGCTGTACCGGAGTCAATCACAGCCCAGGGCTGTGCGCGTGTCTTCATCGATACTATCTTCCGACTGCACGGGGTATCTTGTGAACTAACGTCTGATACAGACCCCCGCTTTACGGCTGATTTCTGACAATTCGTGTCCCGTTCACTTGGAACGCGTTTCAAGATGTCCACTTCTGATCATCCAGAAACTGATGGTCAGACGAAACGCGTCAACCGCGTCCTCGAAGAGATACTTCGAGGATAAGTCCATCATTTACGAGTTGGAGTGAGTTCTTGCCGATGGCGGAACTCGCCATAAACAACTCGGTGCACGCGTCGACAACGCATACACCGTTCTTCGTGAATGGCCTAGGCCATCCACGTTGACCCGCCTTCTTAACGTGTGACTCTAGTTTAAGGGGGATGGACTGGCTCGAACAAAAAACAATCTGGTTCTTGCTCATCACCCGTCGACAATGGTGTTGACGTGATGGATTCCGATGTCGATGCGATCGACATCGATGACGTTGATGATGACGATGCTTGCATATTCAGCATCGCCAATGACTGCCACAATGAGGACGATTACTCCCTCACTGGTATGAAAAACGTTCTTTCAGCAGTGCACACGTAGCGTATTACTGTTGAAAGATATGAAGTAGCAGAGGAATTTCTGATGACTCGCGATGCGGTTGTCCGCTTCGTTCAAGACTCTATTGCAGATGCAATAGACAAGCAGAAGGGAAACGCAGACAAACACGGAAGAGCAAATGTTCTTTCGTTTGATGAAGAAGATTTAGTTATACTGTCTACAGTAAACCTACCAAAACACGCAGTAACGAACGTGGGCAGCAGTAAATTATTGCCCAAGTACATCGGTCCATTTCGTGTGTTGCGCCGAATGGGCAACGATTGAACTGTCTTGTAAGATGCGTACGCACCCTACGTTCTACGTTGGACGTCTCCGCCCGTACTATCAGTACGAGCCCGTTTCGAGATGCGAAGAAAACCTCCGCGGTCGAGAGCCGAGTCAACCTTCGAGTTGTCCCGTTTCAACGAGCCAGTCTGGTCAACTAGCGAAGCGACCTGTTCACGAAATTGAGCGATGTCTCGACGAGCTGCAGCCAGCTCGTCACGAAGAGAACTAGTCGAACGTTCGTTCACATATTGTTCGAACGCAAAAGCGGCACGATCGTCCGAACGATCGTGCGTTAAGAAATTGTAATGATTACTTACAAGATCCTCAGGCTCATAACGCCGAGTCCGTACATGAGCCAGGTCATCGTGTAACTGTTTCTTTTACACGGTTCAGCTCTTGAACATCAAGATCATCCAGCCCTCGAGCCGGATCAGGTGTTCTGACCACCTCCACATCCTTTGGTAGATTCAGGCGGTGGTCAATGCTTCCTAGTGGAGCGTATTTTGAACCACTGCGATGTGAATGGCGTCCGGACGAGTTACCTCGTCCGCTGGCGTGCTATCCGCCGGCGTGGGACAGCTGGAAGCCTCGTGCCCAGCTGATTGTTAATGTCCTGGGTCTCGTCGAGCAGTACGACGAGACTCACCCGCTGCGTTAGAAGAAGGGCCGTCGGAAAACGACCTCCCCGAGCGCGAGAAAAGGGATTGCGAGGTGTCAATCCCTTCGGCCATCTCGGAAGAGATGCACGCCCTCCAGTAGGGATCATTAGGGAGTTAGGCCTCCCTAGGGGCACGATTCGAATTGTCCAGGCAACCTGGACACGAATCACCCCACGAAGGACAGGGTAATCCTGCCTCTCTTGAAAGCCGGTGCAACTTGTATCGCGCCTCGACGGGGTTGCATTTCTCAAACCTGATGCGAGCTGCATCGAGTTTACCGATCCAGGCCTCACGACCGATGTACTTGATGTTATGGATGAAGGCAATCCATCGCTGCACCAAGGCTTTGCCGTCTCGAACACGGCTACCATTGTACCACCGATGTTTAAAGAACACATCGGTGAAGAATTCTTTCTCAGCACGGATTGGTTCCGTGCTGGAATCAGGTGGAAAAATCTTCCTACAATCGAGCAACGGGATTCGATCTCGATCGGTAGTCATGCCGGCCAACCGGTCCAACTCTTTGGATGACGGCATCCAAGGAGACTCCACTCGAGGAACGTGGCGCAGGACATTTCGGTCCCTGGCGTCTTGATTGGTGCCAGCATGAGCACTGACACCAGTGACACCTCGATCTTTCCGGTTTCTTCTTTCGTGGTGATGTATAGGTGCATCACCACCACCCCCGCGCGTCCTATCGTTGAACGGACTTGTGTTAGGCGGAGGTTCGTCGACATAATCACTCGATCCGAAGATATCGGACTTGATGCTGCCGCGCTGACCAGAGCCAGTCAACCTGGATCTTGAAGTGTCCGCCCCGGGTGATCCGGAGGCGTGAGGTGTCCCTTCGAGTCGGATGCATCATCGAACTTGCCAGAATATATTAGCTCTATTTCAGACTCATCTTAATTACGACTCGTGGTACCCGCTGCAGACGCAACGGGTGTACCTGTCGCACGTAATGACTCACCACGTGGACTGTTCACAACAACAGGCGACGAATCACCTGCTGCTGAGGTGTAAGAGGCACTTTTCGCGGCTGCACGTATGCGTGCAGACGCCTTTCTTGCTTCTGCAGTAGCAACTCGCTTGGGTTTTCGAAACCATGCGTTGGATTGGCAAATGAATGGGATTTGACCAACAAGTTCTCCCTTCCCATAGTGATCAAACTGTGGTCACCCGGTACCAATCAATTCTATACAATCAACGAGTGATTAATGGATTGGGGGAGTGATGTAACGGGGTAGCCCGTTACATGATATTGGCACCAAACGGTGTCAGTAGGGATACTGTCTAGCATGACAATATCCTATCAATACCATCCGCGATGGACAATTTGAAGAAATATTAATCCCCTTGTAGGATAATATTCATGCACTTCTCCAAGATTGGTTGATATAAGACATATCAACCATAGATTACACCAATCGCTACTAGACGCGCGCAATGAGTGGTGAGCAGGTTGTCGTCATACGACGGCGTAGTTTAGTATAGATAGATAAAGATTAAAGTGAAATTGATAGCTATCTGTACTGAATACAGTTCTCTTTTTACCTTTACTTGACCGAGTCGTTTAAGTAGATAAGTTTCCTCTGCACGTACTAGTGTACGTGAAGTTTTGCAGCACCCAGACAAAGGTGCCCCGTTACAGACGTAGCTCCGCAAATTGGTGTTCGTCCGCGAAGGATTTTGGACCTGAAAAATAGCCTTACCTTCTTCTTATAGCCTTACACAGTGCATCCACACTCAGCTAGCCTTCTTGCCGCCATTGGTACTTGCATCACCCTCTGTTTGCTGGTTGACATTGTCTGGGAGGCGACCGACGAAGCAGGTTTTGTTTGCATCAGTTCTGTATCCATTTTAGTAGAATGATTTAATTAAATAGGCAAAAAAGACATAACATAAAATTGCTGACCAGTAATCATAAAATACCGATACAGTCCTTCCCAATCTGTAAAACAGGTGCTAAATATGGAACACACAGCTCAGTACAGCACCCCAAATTAGCTAAAAATAAGCTACACGGGCTGGTTGCAATGGCAAAAATTTGGTGGGAAATAAAAGAGACCAATGGGTCATTGGTCCGGGTCAGACCTCAACCAGGGGCCCAGACCAGCCGGGTCAACACCGGGTCGACCCACTAAAACTGGTCCGTGTCGTGGACAAATCTTAAGTACACGCAAATATGATCATTCGCTTGTCGAAATATTTATGCTTTTTATTGGATTTTTTTGCATACACCTCCGCCAACGTGCAAATTATAAATTGCTTCTTTTTCGCGTTCGTATGATGTCGGCAAACAAAGGAATGATACCAAAAAAAACACAAAGTGGTCTGGTGGAAATAAATTGGTATCACGGTAACCACCTCACCTTTTGTACTCACTATAAATTTGGCATCAAAGAGAAGGGTGTGGTCCGTATACGATGCCCATGTAGCATCTGTCAAAAAACAATTAGAAAGACCTTGAATACAGTGTAGATGCAAATTGTCAACATCTGAGCAATTCTGTTTTTTTAGGATTAAAACCAAAACATTTGATAAAAAAACAATTCGAGTCTTGATCTCTGATTTCGCTCAAATCTAATTTATTCAGTGTAATCTATGGAGCGGCACGAACCCTAGTGTCAATCATTTGCTCGTTTGGAAAGCTCAATGTGCAGAAAGTATATAAGAAACCGTTGCGCCAATATCAAGAGGCGAATTGATAGCTTTGTGCATCCGCCCCTGAATGAGATCTACTGCCACAGACTCCACTTTCTAACTCTACATATCGACGACAGTACCTGTGTGACCAACAAATAACGACGACCCATTACAGAACGTCAGCAGCCGTCACGTTCCTGCAGATGGTACAAAAGAATTGAAAAGCTGGTAGCTTCAAAAACATTTGTTGTGTAGACGGTTCATGTAAAATATCTACTTGTCGAACAAAGTAGCACAAGTCCTGCTAACAAAACAAGCACATTCGTCGCACGACTAGAAAGATGCAGGTGACATGCCAAGAGGACCAACCGTAGGCAGAGCACTCTGAACATCCCTGTTGAGCAAAGGAAAGATGGCCCGGACCGGCGTAAATGAGGTACAGGTAAACTGATCACGCCCCCATCCTAAGCGGACTGCTTCTGATCAGTGACTTCATGGTACTCTTCGTCGGTTGGCGTGTAAGACAGAGGGGAGATATTCTGCACCGACGGCACTACGATCGAGTGGTTGTCCTCCTCAGCGTGCACGATCGGTCCATCCTGAAGATGCTGGTCCTCATCAGTGACTTCTTTGTGCTCTTCGTCAGTTGGTGTGTAAGACAGAGGGGAGATATTCTGCACCGACGGCACCGTGATCGAGTGGTCGTCCTCTTCAGCGTGCACGATCTGCTCCTGCTGAGGATGCTGGTCCTCATCAGTAACCTCGCGGTGCTCTCCGTCGGTTGGTGTGTAAGGCAGAGGGGAGATATTCTGCACTGACGGGACCGTGATCGAGTGGTTGTCCTCGTCAGCGCGTTCGATCTGCTCCTGCTGAGGATGCTGGTCCTCATCGGTGACTTCGTTGTGCTCCTCGTAAGTCGGTGTGCTAGGCAGAGGAGAGATATTCTGCACCGACGGAACTGCGATCGAGTGGTTGTCCTCCTCAGCGTGCACGATCTGTCCATCCTGAAGATGCTGGTCCTCATCAGTGACTTCTTTGTGCTCCTCGTTAGTTGGTGTGTAAGACAGAGGGGAGATATTCTGCACTGACGGGACCGTGATCGAGTGGTTGTCCTCCTCAGCGTGCACGATCGGTCCATCCTGAAGATGCTGGTCCTCATCAGTGACTTCTTTGTGCTCTTCGTCAGTTGGTGTGTAAGGCAGAGGAGAGATATTCTGCACCGACGGCACCGTGATCGAGTGGTCGTCCTCTTCAGCGTGCACGATCTGCTCCTGCTGAGGATGCTGGTCCTCATCAGTAACCTCGCGGTGCTCTCCGTCGGTTGGTGTGTAAGGCAGAGGGGAGATATTCTGCACTGACGGGACCGTGATCGAGTGGTTGTCCTCTTCAGCGTGCACGACCTTTTCATCCTGAAGATGCTGGTCCTCATCAGTGACTTCTTTGTGCTCTTCGTCAGTTGGTGTGTAAGGCAGAGGAGAGATATTCTGCACCGACGGCACCGTGATCGAGTGGTCGTCCTCTTCAGCGTGCACGATCTGCTCCTGCTGAGGATGCTGGTCCTCATCAGTAACCTCGCGGTGCTCTCCGTCGGTTGGTGTGTAAGGCAGAGGGGAGATATTCTGCACTGACGGGACCGTGATCGAGTGGTTGTCCTCTTCAGCGTGCACGACCTTTTCATCCTGAAGATGCTGGTCCTCATCAGTGACTTCTTTGTGCTCTTCGTCAGTTGGTGTGTAAGACAGAGGGGAGATATTCTGCACCGACGGCACCGTGATCGAGTGGTCGTCCTCTTCAGCGTGCACGATCTGCTCCTGCTGAGGATGCTGGTCCTCATCAGTAACCTCGCGGTGCTCTCCGTCGGTTGGTGTGTAAGGCAGAGGGGAGATATTCTGCACTGACGAGACCGTGATCGAGTGGTTGTCCTCGTCAGCGCGTTCGATCTGCTCCTGCTGAGGATGCTGGTCCTCATCGGTGACTTCGTTGTGCTCCTCGTAAGTCGGTGTGCTAGGCAGAGGAGAGATATTCTGCACCGACGGAACTGCGATCGAGTGGTTGTCCTCCTCAGCGTGCACGATCTGTCCATCCTGAAGATGCTGGTCCTCATCAGTGACTTCTTTGTGCTCCTCGTTAGTTGGTGTGTAAGACAGAGGGGAGATATTCTGCACTGACGGGACCGTGATCGAGTGGTTGTCCTCCTCAGCGTGCACGATCGGTCCATCCTGAAGATGCTGGTCCTCATCAGTGACTTCTTTGTGCTCTTCGTCAGTTGGTGTGTAAGGCAGAGGAGAGATATTCTGCACCGACGGCACCGTGATCGAGTGGTCGTCCTCTTCAGCGTGCACGATCTGCTCCTGCTGAGGATGCTGGTCCTCTCAGTACCTCGCGGTGCTCTCCGTCGGTTGGTGTGTAAGGCAGAGGGAGATATTCTGACTGACGGTGTGAGTGGTTCCCTGTTTTGAGGTGTTCTTGTCTTTTTTTTTGGTGTGTAGAAGGGGAGATATTTGATGATCGAGTGGTTTCTCAGGTATTTTTAAGATGTGTCTCATAGTATTTTGTGTTTTAGTTGGTGTGTAAGAAGAGGAGATATTTATGAGTGATAGTGTTTTTAGGTGAGATGGTATCCTGAAGATGCTGGTCCTCATCAGTGACTTCTTTGTGCTCTTCGTCAGTTGGTGTGTAAGGCAGAGGAGAGATATTCTGCACCGACGGCACCGTGATCGAGTGGTCGTCCTCTTCAGCGTGCACGATCTGCTCCTGCTGAGGATGCTGGTCCTCATCAGTAACCTCGCGGTGCTCTCCGTCGGTTGGTGTGTAAGGCAGAGGGGAGATATTCTGCACTGACGGGACCGTGATCGAGTGGTTGTCCTCTTCAGCGTGCACGACCTTTTCATCCTGAAGATGCTGGTCCTCATCAGTGACTTCTTTGTGCTCTTCGTCAGTTGGTGTGTAAGACAGAGGGGAGATATTCTGCACCGACGGCACTGTGATCGAGTGGATGCCTTCGTCAGCGTGTACGATCGGCTCCTCCTGAAGGTACTGGTCCTGATCAGTATCTTCGTGGTCATCCTCGTCGTGTCGGTCCTCGTCGTGTCGGTCCTCGTCGTCTTCCTTTTCAAAGTCTCCATTGTTCGTCTTCGCGTGCTCCAGCTCCTCTTCCTCGTAGTCATCGTGGCGATGGATGATTTCTTGGATGAAGGAGTCTTGGCTGTCGTATACGTCTCGGACTTCGTTCATCAGGCCCAACAGCGAACCACGAAGACCACCTCCATGGTTGCGCTGAGCATGCGAAGCCTTAGCCACACCGTTTGGCTGAACATTGTGACTGTGTTGACTCTTTGTTTTCCAGTTCCAGTTGGCATCAGCCGTCGACGCAGCCAAAGAGACAACCGTTGCGGCGAGAGCAGCGTGTGCAATGATGCGAGAAATGTGCATGTTGTTGTAAGGTTTACGATGCGGTAGGAAGTATTGAATGCGGAATTCCAATGGAGCAAACGATGTTCGCTTGGCTCGGCGAATGGCTGAATGAATGCAGGTGATGGTGACTCAAGCTTCGATTTTGTGCAACACGAGACTCAAGACGAAGATTGCTACGTCCTCGCAGGTAAAGAGCATCCGAACAGCATGCGGACTTGGTCATAGTCCGAAGAGCCGCAGCCTATATGTGACGTCACTTACACTTACTTTTCTGGATCCGATAGTAGAGGTGCATCCTTCACTTCAACTAAATGTTTGCACAGTTGTCCTTGCTTCAGCCGTCGTGCGCAATTTGCGATTTCTCACGAAAACTACCCTGACCACGGTAGGAATTACACACTCCGAGAGTTTTTATGCGATACAAAGATATAATCTAAGTCCAGGTCTGCTTCTGAAAACTGCCGATTCGACATTTGTTTCAGTATTCGTCCTCCAAAACCGTTTGGGGGCCAAATATCTTTATGAGCCTTTTCGGAGACGAAACGGTGTGTAGTCCGCTCGTGCTTCCTGCGCACATAGCTTAGCGGGTGGTCACTTGCGGGACTGGAGGCAGTATATGCCCAATGCGATTTCTATGCGACCAGTTGATATGCGCTTGTATAATACATAAGTTTAAATTGTCGCTTGTACATGCATACACGTGAAACAGCCGCGACCTCGAGACTGAGGTCTTACTGTCTTCAAATTTGTCGCTGTCGGCCTCTGCGTTTCATGCCATCGTATGACCGTTAATGCTCAAAGATGCGTGTGCATGCGGCGTTCGATTTGCATATCTAGACAACACACCGACGGTGATCTTCGTCGCATGAGGAATGACAAGCCGCAACGGCAGGTATTGTAGTACGCCCGTAATCTTCAAACCAGATCCAACCGCACACGTAGTTTACGATAGTCAGCGTTGCTGTAGATGTTAGTAAAGGAGTTGCCTTGGTGCAAGCCTACGCTAGTGTGAGCGAGCTACAACCGTCGAAAGAGAGTGCTCACCGTAACTTTCTACAGACACGTGTGATCCAAGCAAATTGGGACAGAAGCCGAAGACCTCCAGTATCGTCCTTCTTCTTACAAATCTATAACTACACAGTATGTTGACACACGCTGCCGCTTCTGTTCCTGCCGTTGCATTGCAGCCTACATTGTAGTCTCATCAAGTCAAACACCTCTGTATCAACGAAGGTTCTTGAAACCGTCCTTGAAACCGTCCATTTAACGTGAAAACGTCGGCACGAGACCTCGAGCATTGCCGTCGGGTCCGGCTAATGCTGGTCAATTCACTACATTCTCTTGTGTGCTACTCGACTGAATGTTGAACCCTAGGTTAACCCTGCGCGAGCTTTCTGCTCCGAATGAATTTCCTGCAATAGCGTAGGCATCTGGAGCTAAGCTTGAAAGCTGCACCTTGTATTGCCACTCTCGTTATGTCGCGTAGCACAGAAAATAGAAATGAAGCACTGCACTCCTTGTCCATCATAGTAAACACATACATTGCAATAGGAATTTGATGTGACGCACTTCGCCGCATATATGTAGTGTCACAACTACACAAAATGTCGCTCGCAACAACGAGACGAATTCGACTGAAAGGAAATATCGATTTGCATCTGTGCACGTACATGTTTATCGTTTGACGCCCGCGGATATTCAGGTCTTTTCATAAACTTATTAGCAAAGCTGCTGTCTACATAGCAATTGTTGTGCGATAAAAACTTTTACCACGCCAGGAGCTGAGTCGTTCAAACTCGCATTTCTAGACCGGAAGGAGAAATGAAGCTGGCAGCTGTGAGTGAGCTCATATATTCAGCGACAATGTACAAGTGCGACTCTGCGATATAATTGCCCGCTAAGCAGACGGAGCTATCGATTGCCGCGTCGTGGGCTCAGTCCTGAATCGTGCTGTTGCGCGCCAATCTACTCGTCGATGAACAGACGGACCCTTTCAATCTTGCCTGCTTTGTTTGTGCTACGAACTATACGTTTATTGAGACTACAATAAATAGGCACCCACCCGTAAAGTATTAGTCAGTAGCAATCTCAGTCAAACGAACTGCGAGCAAACTGAAATTATAGCACCGTGACATGACATGGTACGTGGACTCACCAGAGCGATGACTTAATTGCGCTGGCAAATCGTACAATCAGCGTTTGTTCGAAGCACCACTAGGTCCATACTGAAGCGTACACCTTATTGTTGTTTCGGCTTCATGATCACATGTGCTGTAATTGTGCTTATGTGGCATGCATTATGGTTGCTCTACCATTTTGATTACAAAAAGGGCAACTACATCCGCCTGATTGACTGCGTTACAAGCTAGAGTGACACGGCAGCCATATTTTCATCCTCGACATGGTGTAATAATACCGTCTGCTGTCAGTATTTGAAATGACGAAAGCTTCTACACGCAAAATGTGCAAATGATGACGCCATCCAACACTAATGCTTTAGACCTCTCGCCCCCAGCCTCCTTTGTCGCGCTGCACCGACCTGCCAACATCTTAGACGTGAGGTCCGTGCGTCTGGCACATTGCAAAATTGCTGGAACGAGTTGATGTCTAAAGCTCGTTTTCCGATTTGGTGTATCGTATGCGGAGTTTATAATGATTTGTGTGGACAATGCCAGACGCACTCAGCTATCCTTCCAATTCATATTCCTGTTAGCCAACTTTGCGTGGAACGACTGCAAATGTCTCTAAGTGTGTACGGAAGCATGAGAATTGACAACGCGCTCGAGTACATGTAGTTATTGAGCCTTGAGGACTGGATGCTGGCGGTACGGTTGTGTAATTGTACCAAATTGCCAAACTGAATTGTCTTACGGTAGCTTAAAACGTTTTGTCCCACGTACAAGCTTGAAAACACTCGATGTTATTACGATCTCTTGTGGCGGCAAACACGTCCGAAGGCTGCTGCAAGCACGCACTCGGGGTAGCACTATTTCCAAAAGCGTGTTGGATGTATAACAGCTTTTCGACCCAATTTACCATGCCCATCCAATCGACAAAGCTCAAGGTTGTTCAGTCAATTTTACTCCATACACCTTCGTGCGATGATCGGGTATCATTATTACGATTCGTATCGAACGAAGTATCAAGTCAGTGAACTGTTTCTCATCCTCATCTACTAGAAAGAGCTGAGACCATGTCGATATAGGGTACCGTCTGGGCAAATCTGGGTCAAATAAGGAAGCTTTTCTCATCCGGCTTCGCAACTTTTGCAGGCAGAATATTGACTGCAACTACTAAAATAGGAGAGCAAACTCTGGAGCTAAGTGTACTAAACTTGTATTCACTACTTAAAATCACTCAGACACTAAGTCCCGCTTCAAATGAACATTTTTTATTCAGAAATATTGCATCGTGGGCGCGCAACAGCACGATTCAGGACTGAGCCCACGACGCGGCAATCGATAGCTCCGTCTGCTTAGCGGGCAATCATATCGCAGAGTCGCATTTGTACATTGTCGCTGAATATATGAGCTCACTCACAGCTGCCAGCTTCATTTCTCCTTCCGGTCTAGAAATGCGAGTTTGAACGACTCAGCTCCTGGCGTGGTAAAAGTTTTTATCGCACAACAATTGCTATGTAGACAGCAGCTTTGCTAATAAGTTTATGAAAAGACCTGAATATCCGCGGGCGTCAAACGATAAACATGTACGTGCACAGATGCAAATCGATATTTCCTTTCAGTCGAATTCGTCTCGTTGTTGCGAGCGACATTTTGTGTAGTTGTGACACTACATATATGCGGCGAAGTGCGTCACATCAAATTCCTATTGCAATGTATGTGTTTACTATGATGGACAAGGAGTGCAGTGCTTCATTTCTATTTTCTGTGCTACGCGACATAACGAGAGTGGCAATACAAGGTGCAGCTTTCAAGCTTAGCTCCAGATGCCTACGCTATTGCAGGAAATTCATTCGGAGCAGAAAGCTCGCGCAGGGTTAACCTAGGGTTCAACATTCAGTCGAGTAGCACACAAGAGAATGTAGTGAATTGACCAGCATTAGCCGGACCCGACGGCAATGCTCGAGGTCTCGTGCCGACGTTTTCACGTTAAATGGACGGTTTCAAGGACGGTTTCAAGAACCTTCGTTGATACAGAGGTGTTTGACTTGATGAGACTACAATGTAGGCTGCAATGCAACGGCAGGAACAGAAGCGGCAGCGTGTGTCAACATACTGTGTAGTTATAGATTTGTAAGAAGAAGGACGATACTGGAGGTCTTCGGCTTCTGTCCCAATTTGCTTGGATCACACGTGTCTGTAGAAAGTTACGGCGAGCACTCTCTTTCGACGGTTGTAGCTCGCTCACACTAGCGTAGGCTTGCACCAAGGCAACTCCTTTACTAACATCTACAGCAACGCTGACTATCGTAAACTACGTGTGCGGTTGGATCTGGTTTGAAGATTACGGGCGTACTACAATACCTGCCGTTGCGGCTTGTCATTCCTCATGCGACGAAGATCACCGTCGGTGTGTTGTCTAGATATGCAAATCGAACGCCGCATGCACACGCATCTTTGAGCATTAACGGTCATACGATGGCATGAAACGCAGAGGCCGACAGCGACAAATTTGAAGACAGTAAGACCTCAGTCTCGAGGTCGCGGCTGTTTCACGTGTATGCATGTACAAGCGACAATTTAAACTTATGTATTATACAAGCGCATATCAACTGGTCGCATAGAAATCGCATTGGGCATATACTGCCTCCAGTCCCGCAAGTGACCACCCGCTAAGCTATGTGCGCAGGAAGCACGAGCGGACTACACACCGTTTCGTCTCCGAAAAGGCTCATAAAGATATTTGGCCCCCAAACGGTTTTGGAGGACGAATACTGAAACAAATGTCGAATCGGCAGTTTTCAGAAGCAGACCTGGACTTAGATTATATCTTTGTATCGCATAAAAACTCTCGGAGTGTGTAATTCCTACCGTGGTCAGGGTAGTTTTCGTGAGAAATCGCAAATTGCGCACGACGGCTGAAGCAAGGACAACTGTGCAAACATTTAGTTGAAGTGAAGGATGCACCTCTACTATCGGATCCAGAAAAGTAAGTGTAAGTGACGTCACATATAGGCTGCGGCTCTTCGGACTATGACCAAGTCCGCATGCTGTTCGGATGCTCTTTACCTGCGAGGACGTAGCAATCTTCGTCTTGAGTCTCGTGTTGCACAAAATCGAAGCTTGAGTCACCATCACCTGCATTCATTCAGCCATTCGCCGAGCCAAGCGAACATCGTTTGCTCCATTGGAATTCCGCATTCAATACTTCCTACCGCATCGTAAACCTTACAACAACATGCACATTTCTCGCATCATTGCACACGCTGCTCTCGCCGCAACGGTTGTCTCTTTGGCTGCGTCGACGGCTGATGCCAACTGGAACTGGAAAACAAAGAGTCAACACAGTCACAATGTTCAGCCAAACGGTGTGGCTAAGGCTTCGCATGCTCAGCGCAACCATGGAGGTGGTCTTCGTGGTTCGCTGTTGGGCCTGATGAACGAAGTCCGAGACGTATACGACAGCCAAGACTCCTTCATCCAAGAAATCATCCATCGCCACGATGACTACGAGGAAGAGGAGCTGGAGCACGCGAAGACGAACAATGGAGACTTTGAAAAGGAAGACGACGAGGACCGACACGACGAGGACCGACACGACGAGGATGACCACGAAGATACTGATCAGGACCAGTACCTTCAGGAGGAGCCGATCGTACACGCTGACGAAGGCATCCACTCGATCACAGTGCCGTCGGTGCAGAATATCTCCCCTCTGTCTTACACACCAACTGACGAAGAGCACAAAGAAGTCACTGATGAGGACCAGCATCTTCAGGATGAAAAGGTCGTGCACGCTGAAGAGGACAACCACTCGATCACGGTCCCGTCAGTGCAGAATATCTCCCCTCTGCCTTACACACCAACCGACGGAGAGCACCGCGAGGTTACTGATGAGGACCAGCATCCTCAGCAGGAGCAGATCGTGCACGCTGAAGAGGACAACCACTCGATCACGGTCCCGTCAGTGTAGAATATCTCCCCTCTGCCTTACACACCAACCGACGGAGAGCACCGCGAGGTTACTGATGAAGACCAGCATCCTCAGCAGGAGCAGATCGTGCACGCTGAAGAGGACGACCACTCGATCACGGTGCCGTCGGTGCAGAATATCTCCCCTCTGTCTTACACACCAACTGACGAAGAGCACAAAGAAGTCACTGATGAGGACCAGCATCTTCAGGATGGACCGATCGTGCACGCTGAGGAGGACAACCACTCGATCGTAGTGCCGTCGGTGCAGAATATCTCCCCTCTGTCTTACACGCCAACCGACGAAGAGTACCATGAAGTCACTGATCAGAAGCAGTCCGCTTAGGATGGGGGCGTGATCAGTTTACCTGTACCTCATTTACGCCGGTCCGGGCCATCTTTCCTTTGCTCAACAGGGATGTTCAGAGTGCTCTGCCTACGGTTGGTCCTCTTGGCATGTCACCTGCATCTTTCTAGTCGTGCGACGAATGTGCTTGTTTTGTTAGCAGGACTTGTGCTACTTTGTTCGACAAGTAGATATTTTACATGAACCGTCTACACAACAAATGTTTTTGAAGCTACCAGCTTTTCAATTCTTTTGTACCATCTGCAGGAACGTGACGGCTGCTGACGTTCTGTAATGGGTCGTCGTTATTTGTTGGTCACACAGGTACTGTCGTCGATATGTAGAGTTAGAAAGTGGAGTCTGTGGCAGTAGATCTCATTCAGGGGCGGATGCACAAAGCTATCGATTCGCCTCTTGATATTGGCGCAGCGGATTCCTTAACACTTTTCGGGGCATCCTTAATAAAAAAGCGACTCGCCTAAAATACTAGTTGACAGCCTATAAATAAGTGGATGACCCACAAGCGTGTGAAAGGCCTGTTAAACATAATCTCTTCTTACACTTCTCGAGACATGTAGGACTGTACAACCGTCAATTCGCGAATTCTGTACATTCTCGCTTCCACACAACCGCCTTGAAAATGATCCATCCCTCACAACGACCTCAACAAGTGAGTCTAGTTAGTTTCCCTCGAACCACCTTCCTGCAGAAACCTGTAACAACCTAGAGCACGCAAAGGAAAGTGCTTACGCCTATGCATACGAGAATGGATTGACGATTGCTGTGCAAAGGTCGGCTGAATAGTAAAACCATCTTTGTATAGAAAGTTACGGATGCGGTCTGCGCATGGAGGATACCATTGTGATGCGGTGAGCCTGTTACATGTAACTAAACCTTCATTCTTGTTAGTTGAAATATTAACATAAAGGCTGATAATGTTCGTGAATAATATCGAAAGGGGTAATGTTTAGAAATACTCACCGATTGGTTGATATGAGGCATCATATCAGCCAGTTCTAGCGGTCCAATCAACGATGGAAGCGCTCAATTAGTTGTGAGAAAGACTCTAGCATACATATTTGTCGATAAACATAATTAAGTTTGGACATGAACATAAGTTGTTGATTAGACATGATTTTATTTAATACAGCTTTCTTTTTACCAGCAACAAGTCAGCTCCTAGTTGATTTTCCTTCCTCTGCCAAGTTAACAGAGGGAGCGAGGCACCACTTACGTTGCTGTCGGCGATGGTAGCTCCGCACTGGTTGTCCAGTGTGGAGCTCCGGTGCCCCGTTACAACCATCGCATCCGGTCATAAAAATAACCTGTAAAGGGGTTACACGCGATAATGAACCGGTTATGTTGTGTGTCCACACCAAGTAAAGATCGGTGGATCTGAGTGGTACAGTCTTTGTACCACGTACTTACGGTAATACCGCACCTTATCGGGAAAGGATAAGGAACCAGAATTCTGTCATAGGATCGCAATGTAGAAGTCAGTCAGGCTAGTTTTTTTAGTTTTATTACCGTAGTTGCAGTATAATTTAAGTTCAGTTACCCTTTTGAATCGTTGCACACAAGTACCTAGTCAAGGAATAGCGTGTTGTTAATAGCATTATCCTTGTAAAAGCGCTTACTCTTGTTTAACTAGTAGTGACTAGTTAGTGTGTGATTCTGTGAATTTTAAACTCTTTGGAAACGGGTTTGTTAAGCTTGTACGCTTAAACGAATATACGTCGTTTTTACTTCGTTATAACTAAGAGACTCATTGAGTCGAAGACTTCCTCTGTAAAAAGCGCTGAGTGACTCCGCTACAAAATCAGCCCTCAACCAAACATCAACGAAAAGAGTGATGCATTCCAATTTTTCTTGTCCTTCTACTAAAAATGAATCATGACACGTTGTATCAGGTGTACAACTGCGCAGTACTCTCGCTCGCTTGCGTAATTACACTTAACAGGTATGAGTGGTATCAGTGCGATCGGCAGCGGCCGCTCGGACGGCGGTCACGTCTTCCAAGCTGGAGTGGGTGATTAATATGGTCATCTGCTTTTGTATCGCTGTTCCTGTATGTCGCTATGTTTTTGCCAAGCAGAAGCTAATTCTGGCGTAATTGCTACTATTCCTGTCGCGGGTTGCGACTCTTCACGCTCGTATTTGTAAACTTCGCCCGGCGTTTGGGTTCAATCTTCAAGTCTAGATCGATTTCAATATTTTTTGATCATCTAGTTTTTCTAATCAAGCAGAGACTCTTCCTATTCCATTGTTTGTGAGGCAAATACCAAGCTTGTTGGCTTCCTGCGATTTATGGCTATCAACTCCTTTTTTTGGCAAGTATCTTTTAAATGTGATACCCCATACTTTTTGAAGATTGTGCTGTGTAGACAAGCGAATGACTGACAAAAGGAATCATTGCATTCCATAACTGAAACTGAGTTAATCAAATTTAAGTGAAATCGGATCCAAATAGTCGGAACGTTCGATTTATCGAATGTGTTGGTATCATTAAAAAAAGGCCTGGACTAGGGGCACACCTCACTCTTTATGGGCACACCCACCCGTCTAGAACTAATAACATTCGACCAAAATCAACAAAATAGAATAGTCTACGTGTACAGTACAGTACAGTTGTATGTAGGTACCCCCATCTAGAAAGATGGAGTTGTTTAGCCAAGGGTTGTGGAGCTTGAGACAGGAATACTTCCTCCTCCTGCTAAAGTAAAAAAACTTTCCCGAATACTCGTCTTGGCCGCGCAATTGTGTCTGAGTCCCTGATAATTATACAGTACGGCAGAAAGCAAGGAAAATTTTTGCACTAGCTTTGGACTTCCGGCGGACAAAGGCCAGAGAGAGGAGCAACTGTCGCTAAAATAGCTCCAACCCCATCTGCCGCTCTATTTGGAACGAGCTTTTCTTCCAAAAGCAATATGGAAACAGCATAAAGCTGTTGAGGCTACCCAAGGGTAGATTAACGGCGTCACCGGATATAAGAAAACGAGTTGGGGTCCGCAACAATTACACTGTGATTGCGGTCGTAGCGGGAAAACAACAACATTTAAACCATAGCTTCTGTAACACTGGTTCTACCAACTTGACTGCAACGATATCATTTGATCCAGTTCATGTACGAAACCGAAGTCTGAATAATGAGCATGCTTTCATAGTTGTGCAACCACAAAACAATTTAAGATCAGCACTGCAAATGGTTCGCGACAGCTGGACCAGCCAAAACCACCTGGCGAGGCAGTAGCAAGTGCACTGCTTTGCAAGGGTTAGAAGAAAAGATTCCTTCTGGAGTGTTGTTGGTGACAGATTGTGAAGCAGCGTGTTTTAATCAGCGAGGGCAAGAAGCATATTTAGACGGAGCTTTATTACCTATCGACTAGCGCGTTGTTTTTTTTTTGATATCACCAATACGTTCGATTAATAAAACTGCATTGCAAAGACAGAACAGCCGAACTTATCACCTATATGTTCGGCTGTTTTGTCTTTGCAATGCAGTGTTATTAATCAAATGTTAGTTTTATACAGGTGGGTGCGACCATAGAAAAAGTGGGGCGTGCCCCTAGTCGTGGCCATTTATGATATGCAGAAATGCTAATATTTCATCGAAACTATGCTCTGCACATGCTTTCTTATCATTTTGGGATAGTTGGTAAATGGGCCAAATGTTACGGACCGGACACTTCTGTTCTATGTACGACAGCCCACTGTAAATATAACAAAAGTTTTGAACTTTTTTTTAAATATGCCCATTTGATATACAAATATTCCACTGTGTGATATCATTGTTCAAATTAACTAACGTGTCATTGGTCAAAGACGTTAGTTTGCAAATATAGTGCCAAAGCGAAAATGAAGCCATACATGAATTTTCTTATAGGTGGAGGAGTAAGCGTGGTGGAGTAGAATTCGCTCATTTTATGAGGTGATACCAATTATCCACTGGCGCCAGATGACCGAAAAAAGAATAGTGTATTCGGACTTCGTGTGCTTTGCCTTTGTCACCTTAAGTACCCGTCGGTAGAGCGGGTTGCGATCTTCCAGGTGGACTCGAGTCGATGCCAAGCTTGACCGTAGCTGGGATTGGTGTCGGCTGCATGTTAATATTCATATGATCGCGTTTTTTATGGGTCTTTGTACGAGTTGCCCCGATCTGATACAGATCTCCTTTCACTACGGTGATGCTTGATCCATCGGCTCATCTGACCACTTGAGCCGTCTCGCGATCTTGCACCCCTTTCCCTTGCTGTGTTTGATGCGTTTGATCACATTTGACTTGTTTTCTTGAGAGTTTTGAACGCACCTAACACAATTCAGGTGCGACACTTGTGTAGATGTGCAACGCGGCACTTTATTCTTAGGGTGGCCCAATATCGTGCCTGGAAGAGATAGCTTGTGTCTTTTGAAGTAATCCGAACTGTGTTCTATGATAACCAATCAGACTAAAAAAACATCACTGTGCCCTTGATATCTCGTGTCAGGATGAAACTGTAACGGGGCTAGAACAACCCGTACTTAGCTACACTATTCTACGCTTTGAGGAGGCCTCAAAGCTAAGTCTTGGGTATTAAGTACTTTTAACTCGGTTTTTTTTTCTTTTAATCATCCTAAGTAGGAATGCTTCCCTTGGACTCATGGGAACCACTTAATCTACGTACCTGTGTCTTACTGGCTAATAATGGTACTGAGCCCATCAAACCAGCTAAAATATACGGCGTGCTACTTTCGCTACTTCGAAAGTAACACCCCTACTTAGGTAACATGTTAACTTAATCAAAACTACTTATGTTACGGGGTGGCCCATTACAGAAACGCGTCACCCTTACAGGAAGATCGTCCTCTCGCATCTATGTGTTCCGCACCAGATGTATCATCAGTCGTTCTTCATGTGGTCTAACTCGAATGCCACAACAGTCACTCCTTCATGTGCTACACACTAGGGTTATCAGCAGTCGGATCTTCATGTGGTTCACACCAGGGTGATCAGCAGTCGGGTC